AGAAACCATAAAATCATTTAAAATAGTTAATTATTTATAATATAAAGAGAAAAATAAAACCAATTGATTACAAAAAAAATTATTTATGAGAAATTGAAAAAAAAGTGAGAGAAAGAGTTACTATGAGATAGAGAGGAAAAGTGAATCGATAATATTCATTCAAATTTCCTTGTTTCTCAAGAACGTGCCAATCTAATTGATTGACACTATATTTTAATTGATTAGATTTAGTCAAAAATATTTTCTTGGCTTTTTTAATGCTTCCATATTTTTTCATGCAACTTCTATATATTTCTTCAAAGATTTTTCTTTTTAAAAACATTTTAAAAAGGTTTTAAGTGTGTGTGTTCTTATATCCATCTATTTCTATAAAGAAAGAACTTTTGCTTTTACAAAAGTTTCACTCACATACTAAATTAGGAGATTGATTCCTCTAAGTCTTGTCTGATAGATTCTTTTATGTTGACACTTGCTCTGAGATTTCTTTTTAGGCTTTTGAAGTAATGCATTTGTTTGTCTTTGTCTGAAACTTTGTTGATGTCTGATACTTTGTCAATCCTTTATCAAACCCATGACTTGTATCTTTAACCGCTTAAGCACATTGGTTGAATTTCTTAATAGTTGCATCTTTATTATGCTGAATGTTATCTTTTCTGATCTTTTATAATTGTCATCATGTTGCATCTTTATCATGTTGAATATATATTCTGATCTTTTATAGTTGTCATCATGTTGCATCTTTTATCATGCTGAATAGCTATTTTATTCCTCACAGTTGTCATCATCAAAAGAAAACTATTACCTGTAAAATAAGGTTCCACGTATGTTTGGCACGAGAGTGAAGTATGAGATTCTTGGTAAGATTTATTGCACTGGTGTTGTCACAATTTATTGACACAACTTCAATTTTAACACCATAGTCATTTAGTTATGGATTCATCCATATGATTTGAGCACAACAACTTTCAACAACGACATATTTCGCCACAGATGTGGATAGAGCCACACTTGCTTGTTTTTTGTTGTGCCAAAAAACTAGAGAGTTTCCGAACAGGTGACATGTACCACTAGTACTTTTTCAAATGGGGAACCATAGGCCTATTTGTTGTATGCCAATGAGATATCTCATTACGCGCTTGACGGTGCAGAGATGTGACTTTTTAGGATATGCTTGAAAACATGCACACATACATACAAAGAACATTATACCAGGTTCTGATGAAATAAGATATAACAATGACCTAATCATAACTCGATATTTTCTTTCATCGACTGGATTTTCCATTTTCGTCTTTGTCTAGGGAGTATGATGTTGGCATTGGTTGAAGGTAGAGAAAAACACAAGAAGGGGGGGGGGGGAGGGGGGGGGGGGGGGGGGGTTGAATTGGGTTTTAAAACTTTTCCTCTTTTGAAAACTATTTGATAAAACTATGAAAGAATATAAAATGCTAGAAATATAAAGAGACACATTCAGTTTATCCAAGTTCACCTTTAACTAGGCTACATCTTGTCCACCCTCCTTAGGTAATTTTGCCTTCAACAAGAACTTAATCCACTATAACCAAAATGATTACAAATGCACGGGCTACCCGCCGGTGACTAACAATCACACATTGACCCGTAATCATTGTCATCTTAAGTCTTCTGACAAACACTAGTCACTCAAGGAATAACATAATGACACGTTCAACGATCTCCACGAGATATAACGATCATTAACCCTATAAGAAATCTCACCAACCTGGTATTTTTAAATGGGATTTCTCACAATAATCCTCATCTAGTGATCTCTTAAGAATTCTGATCTTCCTAGTCCCCTAAGAGATATAACCATCATTGATCCTATAAGAATCGACCAATCATGGTATCTTAACTTGATTTCATCTACAATGATCTGTAGCCATTGTCTTCTCAAGTATATAATTCTTCACTTGATCACTTGAGGAACCACAAATTCTAAAAAGAATTGTTTTCTGGAGATTACATGAGTGCTTTTTTACAAGTAGATTACTCCTAGTTTAAGTAAATATTGTTTAACATAATTATGAGCAACAACTCTCGTGTTCAAACTATTTACATGAAGAATTAAAACTATAACATAATATGAGCAACAACTCTTGTTTATAAATGACTAGATAGCTCATTTATTTGGTTAGAAAAAATATTTTAATTGATGAGAAAAATTAAGCACACTATTTTGAAGGATTAACCAAAGCTTCCTGATCATTTTAACTTCAACATAGTGTACTACCTCAAATATCAAAAAGCCTTGATAAAACTTTCTTCTTTAAAGGTAACACCAACACATTGTGGTGTGTCCTTCTCTATCAATTGTTAGATGTGATAGTTGGTTAAACAACAAGATAAATATGTTTATCACTGATGTATCCACTCAATCTACTATGAGGTTAGTTGATCACTGAGGATAAATGATGCAAAGATCATCCTCAACAAAAAAATTTCTTTGATCACCATCATTGATATCCACCATCTGCAATCATTCCTGGAGGAGAGACTTCAAAATTACAAACCAATGTATACTCGAGAGTATACTCTTTGATTTGCATAGTTTCTTTTAATATACGCTAAGGCTTCGAGCCACAAAGCATTCTTGCAAAAAATACTAGGGTTTCACCTTTGGTACCCAAGTTGTCTTAGGTCTTAAATGTTAGTTCTTCTAGAAGATCTAGGGATATTACCTTTAGACCTTTTCAAATTATAAAAACAAAATGGCTCTAAGTGACCAAATCTACTGCGGTGTGAGCATTTATAAACTAGTAGATTCTTTTTCTTTCTATTTAATTTGTTACTAGGTTCTTTATCTGATTTAAATCACAGTCCCCTTTTATTTAAGAAAGGCCTTTGACTTGATAAGTTCAAGTCAATGCTTTCTTTCCACTTAGTAATTTTACTTAGGGTTTCATATATATATGTCACTTCCTTTTTCAATGAGACATAAGTCTCACAATTTTTAGCTGAGTTTCTAATATTGGCAATTTCAAGCTTAAGCATTTTATTATTTTATTCAAGAAACTCTCAATATTCCTTAAGGTATAAGTAGTGTTTTTTAATATTATAATTTTCTTTGATTAACTTATCACTTATTTTAAACAACTGCTTGTAAGATGGTTTAGTTACCTCATAATCATCTTCCTCGTAACATGCTTTGAAGAAAACTTCATCTTCTTTGTTTGAAAAGTATTCTTCTATGGCCCCCATGAGGTTTGCCCTTATTCATTTATGGAGACTTCGTATATTCTTTCGAAGATTTAATTAGACAATGTTTCTTCTTCACATCCTCTCATAGACAAAGTTACTTTATTTGATGTTTAATCTTTCGAGGATTGTTCAACTAATGAATATGATCTTTTGAAGCAAACCATGGGATTTATTGGATAGGAGTTTGATAAATTGGATGAGGATTCTTTAAGTAATTGAACTATTTTGTTCAAGTTTTCTATGAGTTCATCCTTATTTGATTTTTCCTGAAATTCATAAGTACTCCTATATTTTGATTTATGGATTTAATTAAATTTCCAATTCTTAACTCTTATATATTGGTTAGTAACAAACATTCCAATGTCATTTGTAACATTTCTAAATTTTGAAAAACATTTATGAATGAAACCTTCACATTTTTTGCCGCGTGCGTTCGTTTTCTCTCATTTGATACTTAGAGAAACTTCATATATCATTTCAAGAGTGTCCCACATAAAGGGATTTACTATCATCTAAGGACATTACTAGACAATTCTTGGTTTTGAAATAAATTTCAAATTTTATCTTATCTTCTACGGTCCAAAGGGAATCAGACTCATAAACTATTTCTCCGTCTATTTAGTGAGTAGGGATAAACAAACATTTGATTAAAGTTTTTCACCTTTCAAAATCAATACTTTAAATAAAAATTCTGAATCTAGCGTTCCATAATTCAAACATAACATCATTAAATAGTAGAGGTGTGTTTAGGAAAAATATCTTGTTAAAGAAGGTGTTAGAAGTCATCTTCCTCTTGAGACGGTTAATTTTTGAATAGGAGTTAGGAAATGATGCCATTTTTTCGACATGTGCCTCCACACACAAGAGGGTGGGGGTGTGAATTATGAATTTTAGAAAAATGGTAGTTTGAATACATTTTGTTATCATTTTCATAATTTAAAAATATTTAATAAAAACATTTTGGAATCGCGCAGCGGAAAGTAAATATGCAGAAAATAAATTGTTAAGGGTAAGAGAAATGACACCAGAAATTTATATAGGTTCAGTCAAGAAGACCTAATCTTATCCCTAAAATTTGATCTTGAGAGTATCCAACAATGCTTAAGATATTTTAATAGGTTAAACTCTCGAACCCCTTATACAAGGAAAAATAAAGTTTCGGGCTAACTTCTATCATACCCCAAATTTGCCCCACCCCTGATTATATCTAGGGTTTCTTTAAATAAATCGTATTATTTAGTTTTCACTTTTATATGGGTGTTAAAATTCAAAGGGGGTGTGTTGATGTAAAATGGACCATCAATATCTGATGGTCCATTAAGTTTTAAAATTCGTTTCAAGTTTAAAAGAGAGGTGTATTTTTTTAATCAAGGAGGTGTGAACAAATTCGTTTTTGATAAAGCCCATTACAAGTTTTTGATTTATTTACAATAATTATTATTATAATTATTTATTATTAATATTATTATAAGTAATATTTTTATTTTTGAAATTATTCTTATTTTGTTAATTTAAGAAAAAGGAAAAAATGTTGTTGTTTAAGAAACACGCAAGCCCAATTGTGCAATGAAGAACACATAGCCCAACTTTTTGATCAAAATAATTAGAAGTCAATTTATTTTTCTAATTATTATTTCATCTTATTAATTAATATAATCATTTATTATTAATATTATTTTTGAAGTTGTGTTCATGATTTAAAAAAAACGTTGGATTAATTGGAAGGCCCATTATAAATTCTTTTTCTGTCTTAAAAGAAAAAAAAACTATTTTTGCAGTCTATGTTATTATTACAAACTCTACTGAATTTATTTTATTTAAACTTTGGTTATTTTGGTTTTATTATTTGGATGATAAGTAAAAGGGCTTTCTTTAATCATTGTAAGCCCAAAATGAACAAAAAGGACATGGCCCGGAACCTAAAACAATCACTATACAAATTGAGGCAAAAACACTTAAGGGTTTCAAGCACTGTCTTTTCTTTTTTCTTCTTTTCCAGAATCAAAACTTTCCATTTTAAACAATAATTTTCTAGAACGAAGTCAAACTTTTACAGAATCAAAACTAAATACATAAGCAAATATTAAGCATTCAGATTCTAATCAGTACAAATTACACCAAAATCAATTTTCTTTCCGAAATCAGAATCAAGAATATTGAACATTAACTTATTTCCTAATTCTAATTCCTAAAAACACTATAAGAAAATGAAAAAAGACAGTAAGAGGGGGAGGCAGAAGAGATCTCCAAACCATCTCCATAATACTCCCGGCCTCTGTACGTACTAGCTCCGCCTCTCTACTCACAAAAACCTTCATCATCCAAACCAAACTCCTTTTGTACTACCTCTGTCAATTTTCGTGTGCAGCGACCAACGGCCTTTCTGTCATGCGGCCATCACCGTTAACTCACCGTACCACTGAGGTTCCTCCGACCAGATCCATAAGTCAATCGCGACTTCCTCTGTCTCCATTGCGGTACAACATCAGCAACCCCACTCCGTGCACTGATATGCTCAAATTTAGACTGGTGCAGGAGCACTCTGTTGTTTTGATATGGATCGGTGTGTAAATCTGTTTTTCCTCTGAGATACACTAAGAATGGAAGAAAAAAAAGGAACATAGGAACAGAGGGACACCGCCCATGTAGTTTGTTCTTTTTCTCTATTATTATTAACATTGTTTTTATTGTTTCTTGTAGGGCTGGTCTGCCTTAAGTATTAGGCTAGGCCCAACTGTGTGTTTCTATCATTTTACTAATTTATCTTCATTCTCATTAGGCGGAAATTCTTAATAACACTCTGTCATCATTACAGCAATTTCAAAACAACACAATTTAATAATAATCAACTTAAAGTTCAACAACTGAATAATCAACAATCAAAAGCAACAAGCGTTCATCCCCCGAGTGTTACATATCAGAGCAATGACACCGACTCGAACTACTGAAGGTATACAACCTTCACTCTCGATTACCTGCACGTTACCAACATAAGGGAAACATTCAAACAGAAGGGGTGAGATATCTAACAATATAATAAAGTGCATGATAATTAATATATTAAATTAGATCACATAACATCCCCACTTCTCATCTCAAAATCAACAATAATAATACACATTCACCACATCAATACACACTTCTTTATGCAGTCATATAATGTGACTCAATACTATGAAAATGCATGTGGTACCATTGGAGCAGAACTCCCATCTCAAAAATTTTCCAATTAATAGAGGCATCAACAAGGCATAAGCCTTCATCTCAATATTCTCCAATACAGGCCATCTCAACGAGCATAAGCTCCATCTTAAAATGCAATGTATGCGACACAATCATGAATGTATTAACAACACCATAATTAACAACAATCACAATACAACATCATCATTGGCCAAAGGCCTACGTCTCAAAAGCATCTCAAAAGCATATCAACATATCTTCATCAACATCTCATATCATCCATAATAATTTATCATTTATCCATCAAACATCATTTATTCATCATAAATTATCAACACAACATTATTAATAACATCTCATCAACAACTCAGTTGTATGTTAATACGACAGTAATTCATACTGCTATTCCGTAATCTTACATCATTACTATCATTACTCCTACTGTTACAAATCAAACAGCAACCTATAAACATTCATTCTCATCAATTTGCATAAAATCAACGTAACAATCAACACGGGAAATAACTCTAAATCCTAAATTGGCTACTAGGATTACACTTCCTATCCATCATTTTAATCCTCAGGAATAAAGCTTATTGCGTTAGCTATTCAACGCAAAACATCTTGGATCGACGCGTACTGCACTAAACTCACAACATGAGTCGACGCATCCTCTCTTGGATCGACGCGTCCTGAGTATAACACACAACATGTATCGATACATGCTCCTATGGATCGACTCATACTAAGTCTAAAACACTCATGTATCGACGTAAAACCTCTTCGTGTCGACTCATCCTGAGTCTCTACACCTTCTTGTATCGACACATAACATTTGGGGTCGACACATCCTGGTATATCCTGCATAATTTCTGCGATTTCTCTGCATTTTCACTACAGGTTCCATACTTTAAGCCCTAAAAACTTAATCCAATCATAGATAATCATCACTTACAATTACCCTATAATTCTACATCAATTAAACCTCTTCGTGTCGACTCATCCTGAGTCTCTACACCTTCTTGTATCGACACATAACATTTGGGGTCGACACATCCTGGTATATCCTGCATAATTTCTGCGATTTCTCTGCATTTTCACTACAGGTTCCATACTTTAAGCCCTAAAAACTTAATCCAATCATAGATAATCATCACTTACAATTACCCTATAATTCTACATCAATTAAACCACATCGGTACATCATTATTCATCTAAAAATTCATCAATTTCATCATATAACATCATAAACATTCAATTCATGAACAAGACATCAATCACCTCTAACCCCACATACCAATAATCATGAACCCAATTATAGAGTCAGAACCCCACCCTTACCTTGGATTGAAGGTCGCTCTATAATCTTCCGGTTGAAACCTCGATCTGCCATTTTTCCTCTTTTTTCCAGCAGCTTCACGTTCTTCTTCTCAATCCTTATTCTTCTACTGCCTCTTCTTTCTATTCTCTCCAACAATAATAAAATAACCTATTATTCTCTTAATTCCTTAATGGGCTTACAACTAATACACCCCCTTATTACTTTTATTTCTTTAAAACAAGCCCACATCAAATAATATTATACTTCTAATATTATTTCTCCACTCAATAAAATAATTAAATCCAATTAATCACAACGCAACTTCACAAATATTCCAAAAATAATTTAATTAAATAATTAATTAAATTACGAGGGTTACAACTCTCCCCCACTTAGAATACTTTCGTCCTCGAAAATTTACCTCAATCAAACAATTCAGGATAGGAGTCTCGCATCTTGCCCTCCAACTCCCATGTCATGCTTTCTCCGGCAGCTCCTAGCCAAACCACTTTAACCAGAGCAATATCTTTGCCCCTCAGAGTCTTTATTTCACGATATGTGATCCGTACAGGCATCGTCTCCACCGTAATATTATCCCATAGTTGCACATCATCCATATGAATCACATGAGATGGATCTGAAATATACTTCCGGAGTTGCGACACATGAAACACATCATGCAAATTCGAAAGATTAGGCGGTAAAGCCACTCTATAAGCAACATTCCCCACTCTCTCCGAAATCTGATACGGTCCAATAAAACGAGAAGTGAGCTTCTTAGACTTCAATGCTTTCCCAACACCAGTAACAGGTGTAACTCTAAAAAACACATGATCACCAGCTTGAAATTCTAAAACTTTCCTTCACTTGTCATGATAACTATTATGTCTATTTTGGGAAGCTTTCATCTTTTCTCGAATCAACTTTACCTTCTCAGTAGTCTCACGAACAAGTTCAGGTCCAAGTACTACACTTTCACCAGATTCATGCCAACATAAAGGAGTTCTACATCTCCGACCATACAACGCTTCAAAAGGTGCCATCCCAATACTAGAATGGTAACTGTTATTATAAGTGAACTCTATCAAAGGAAGATGAGTATCCCACGAACCTCCCTGCTCAAGAACACATGCACTCGGCAAATCTTTCAATGATTGAATCGTCCGTTCAGTCTAACCATCTGTCTGAGGATGATACGCTGAACTCAACCTCAACTTAGAACCCAAAGCTTCTTGCAAACTCTTCCAAAAATCAGAAGTAAATCTTGGATCTCTATCTTACACAATGCACAAAGGAACACCATGCAACTTCACAATTACACTAGTGTAAATCTCAGCCAACTTCGACACTGGAAAGCTGATGTTAATAGGAATAAAATGAGCTGACTTCGTAAGCCTATCAACAATCACCCAAATTGAATCATGTCCTCTTAAAGTATTAGGCAACCCCGTCACAAAGTCCATCGAAATGCTATCCCATTTCCATTTTGGAACTTTTAACGGTTGCATCAACCCTACAGGCTTCTTATGTTCAACTTTCGACTTCTGACAAGTCAAACATGCATACACAAACCGAGCCACATCACTCTTCATTCCATGCCACCAAAACAAACCTTACAAATCTTGATACATCTTCGTAGCTCCTGGATGAATACTTAACTTACTTCTATGACTCTCTTTAAGTATCACTTTCTTCATCTCAGCATCATCAGGAATACAAATCCGATTACGAAATCTCAACACACCTTACGCATCTAGCTTGAAATCATTGTTCTCAGACTGATCAATCCCAACCATCAAATCTACCAGTTTTACATCTAACTTCTGAGCTTCTCTGATACTGTCTAAAAATTCATTATTAATCTTCAACATACCCAATATAACACTCTGCGGCGTAAACTCGCAAACTAAGCTCATATCTCTGAATTGTTCAATGAATTCCAACTCTTTAACCATTATTGCTGACATATGTAAAGTCTTTCGACTTAACGCATCAGATACCATGTTCGCTTTTCTGGATGATGATTCAAATCGAAATCATAATCCTTTAACAATTCCAACCATCTCCGCTGCCTCATATTCAACTCCTTCTGATCGAATAAATACTTCAAGCTCTTATGGTCACTAAACACTTCAAATCTAGAACCATAAAGATAATGTCTCCAAATTTTCAACACAAAGACAACTGCAACAAGCTCTAAATCATGCGTAGGGTAGTTCTTCTCATGAGTCCTTAACTGCCTTGACGCATAAGCAACTACCTTACCATTCTGCATAATCACACCTCCTAAACCCATCATAGAAGCATCAAAATACACCACAAAAGGCTCTCATGGATTAGGCAACGTCAAAATCGGAGCCGACATCAACCTCTTCTTCAATTCCGTAAAACTTTCTTCGCACTGAACATCCCATACAAAAGCTATACCTTTACAAGTTAACTTAGTCAACGGAAGTTCCAGCTTAGAAAAACCTTCGATAAACCTTCTATAATAACCAACTAAGCCAAAAAATCTTCTAATCTCAGTAGCTGACCTCAGAGTCTCCCATTGCAACACAACATCAACCTTCGATGGATCTACAACAATGCCATTACCTGAAATCACATGACCAAGAAAACTAACCTCCTTTAACCAGAATTCACACTTAGACAGCTTTGCATACAACTTCTTCTCTTTCAAAACTTGCAACACTACTCTTAAATATTCTGCATGCTCTTCTTCTGACTTAGAGTAAATCAAAATATCATCAATGAACACCATTACAAACCGATCCAAATAAGTATGAAAGATACGATTCATATATTCCATGAATACTCCCGGCGTATTAGTAACACCTAAAGACATCACTGAATACTCATAATGTCCATAACGCATCCTGAAAGTCGTCTTCTGGATATCTTCATCCTTCACTTTAATCTGATGGTAACCCGACCTCAAATCAATCTTACTAAACACAAGGGCATCCACCAATTGATCCATCAAGTCATCTATTCTTGGAAGCGGATAATTGTTCTTAATCGTCACTTTATTCAACTGTCTATAATCAACACAAAGCCTCATACTTCCATCTTTCTTCCTTACTAACAACACTGGAGCTCCCCACGACGATACACTTGGTCTTACAAACTTCTTCTCAAGTAACTCCTCCAATTGCTTCTTTAACTCTGACAATTC